TGGATGGATGGAAGGAAAGATATATATTAGAATGTGGCTTATGTTAGATCAATATATAATAACCTATAGTAAATGCATTTACTACTTTATTTTACAAATGCACTCAAAACCAAGTACCAGACATGTGAGGCAACACCACTGTGCCACCTCCTACAAAAAGAGGTTTCATTTTGTCATTTCTTACACATCTGCACTTGACGAATGGAGATTCAAAGAAAATGGTTTGTGACACAAGATGCGTGTGGCGGTCAGTCTGAGAAGGGTCACAGACAGTGACTGCAGTTAGAGCCCAAGGCCACAAGAGGGCAGAGTGTCTGAGAGATTATTGCTGCCATGGCTGTCAGAGACCCAGGAAGAAGCGAAGTGCTACTGAACAGGCAGCTTTAAGAACAAAGGAAACATGGACGGAATTAAAAAAAAAACTGTTTCATAAATCGAAGTTTCTTAGTAAAATACATATATAGATATTATCTCAGTATTGCCCTCAAATTAAATTATTATGTGTTTTGTGAATTATTTGTAACACAATACAGTGTTGTTCTATGGTGAAGTGCTTAAAGGAAAAGAGATACCTTAGAGGAGTAACAAGATGCTTTGATGAGTCAGATTATTATCTTTCACCCTGTTTCTGGCAATGTCATTTTGTGTATTCATTAGCTATCATTATAAACACATTCATCAAGATTTTTTGCATTTCCCCAATGTAGAAAGTAATAAATAAAATTAAATAATCTGTAAAAAATGACAGTGTCAGGACATTTGGCACTGGCATCGCACAGTATGAATAATTACACCGGCGACAGACTAACAAAACAGCTTGCTGTCAGGTTGTGCCGTTTTAATAGAATTTTTGGCGCGGTGCTGCGGGATTGCTGGCCAGCTTCTCCGCACAGCCGCGGGAGCCAGCCTGCTTCTGCACTGGGCCCCCTGAACAAGCACCTTCTACACACCTGCCTGCTGCTGTTGCCTATCGCTAGTAATTAAAGAGTCGTCGCTTCTGCCACCTGCCCCGTCCCTCTGCACGGCACTGAGCCTCTCGTTTTGCTGATTTTGTTTAGCTAATCTGTTTATATAAACTTGGTCATTTATTAGTGATGCTCTCGTCCCGATTAAGCAGAAATCAATATAAATATGCCTATCATGCTTTTTTCCTCCTACAGGTTAGCAACATGCAGATAGTCGAATTAAGTGTGTATGCGTCCTGAGAAAGACGGCCTTTCCATTCTGGCTATCCACTCTGGAAGCCTGAATCCACAGTAGGCGCTCCGTGAGCCTATATTATGTGTACACTGATAAGCATTCCCGATAAGCTAGACTAAACAAATGTGTTTTTAGTCTACATGTCAATATTGAAATTGAGCCTGAATCTCACACATCCGCTGGGAGACTTTTCCACAGCTGCGAGGCAAGTTTTTCACTGTAAGAGCCTCCTTAGTAGTTTGTGTTCTGGTCTGGAGTAGGTACTAAAAAACGGTTCTGGAACTGTCTCCGAGAAACTACAGTCGGTCCAAATGCCTGAGGTGTGAACACACCAAAAGTCCCTGGTTCTGGAAAAAGGTTCTAGTTCCAGAAAAAAAGTTCTGGTGGTGTGAAAGTGCCTGTAGATTTTCCAAAGCATGCTGCTCGATTCTCTCTGCACATTATTAGTGTGGAAGCCAGAGCCCAATCCAGAGCCACACAGCAATGTACCCCATTTCTGTGCCATTGAGTATGGTCTTCCTGAGCATGTAGACAATCCTAGGTTGATCTAACTGCATGTTTTTAGACAGCAGGTGGAAGGATGCTGGAGTACTTGGGGGCAAAACTCATGGGGGCAAAACTTGAACCAATATGAGGTGTGACGCTATAGTGCTAATCGCTGACCTCCCAGCCGCCGTGCTGCCCTGCAATATGCGGACATGCAGATATGAATCTATCTTCAAAATAGCTTATCCAAGTAAGAGAGGAATCATGTATAATATTTTTCCTGTACTGCAAAATAAAATCCGTGAGCTCTCTGACATGGCACAAATCCCATAGATAAGGTAATAGCATTTCAAGGAACAACAAAGGCTAAGCTAATCACCTCGCAGCAAGTCGATCAGCTAGTAGGCCTGTCAGCCACAATGACACTAATTCATTTGAATACAGCAGACAGGGCTCTGCTACTTGTCAAAGCTTATTTACTTCTGAGATATTTTTTTCCTTTTTTTTGGGAGGGCGGGGCAACAGGCTTTTGTGACATGAAATATTTGCTTGCCAGTTTAGCTGCCTTCATTTTGATTTATAATGAGCGAAATTAGATGTTCATGTGCAGCTTTGATCGCAGGAGTAACATAGACTTACCTTTAGAAATAAAACAGAAAATTTTTCAGTTTAAATACTGGTGATTGTTTCAGCACATCAGTCAGAACTTTGGAAGAAAATGGTCTTTATTGTATATATCAAACTTATCATAATTGTTTGTTTTTCTTTTTTTTTTAGTCATGCCTGAAGGGGAATTTCCCTTGTGGTTGATAACTCTGGAGCCAGGATGCACCAAGTTACATTTTGAACAATTAAAACTAAAACCTTTCCTGAAAATGGTTATTCAGTTCTTTTGTGGTTAGACCAAACAAACTATAAATATGAGCCTGCGAAATAAACACCTCTCTGTCCGGGGATCTTGCAGGAAGTAAATATTGCAGCAACAACAATAAGCATGAGCACTATTTTAAGGTATTTAATAAATCATTTATGTTTTTGGATCATAAGTAAAACGGCACAGATTCTAAACACATAGGTTTATAAAGCTCTTCCTTTTTTTGAAACCACTGTGTGACACACGACTCCTTCCGTTACATAAACCAGCACGATATCCAAACACTTTCCACTGAACACGTAACAGAAGTGGTTTTTCCCTTCCTGATAAAGCCGCATTTCCTGTCTCAACACTCCAGTGAAGAGCAAAATCAATCAGCTGCATGACTGAAGGTACTGGGGGAAACTCAGAGATAATAATATCTGTCAGCATAGGCAAACAGACTGTAATCACGCCCTGACAGAGTGCTGATCGTCCTGGTCATTTGCAGTATTCTATAAAATTCACGTCAGTGACTATAATACAGGGGTTCTCTCTGAAGCGTGACCTCCATTTGAAAATGTCAGAGGTTTAATAAACATGTTACAAATACACCAACACTTGATACATCTCCCACATGCACGTCTCTCCCCATATACCTACGGCTGCTTTTACTCCTGCCCAGTAAGGGCTGGGATTTCAGTGCCACCTTGTGTTAACTTAGTGCATTTACATTACAATGGAAGTCTCTCACCAGGAACATCTGTTTGGAAAATAGCATCATTCCATGGAATTCTGGCTTCACATATTCATTGTCTACACAAAACAATTCTCTCAATCGTGTTGTGGAGTGACTTACATTACAGTGGAAAGCTAAATGTCAGGGTAGTACATTTAAACGATTTTAAGAGGTAATGAGTTTAGTTAATCCCCAAATTCATTATTTAAAGGTGTCATACAGTTGATGAAAGACAATCCGGTTACCAACGGAGATTGCTGCTTTACAGCTGTTTCCAGAGGCATCTGTGTAAATGCGTCTCTAGTATTCATATATATATCAGGAGAATGCAATAAATGCACTGCTTACAAATATACAGACATATGCACCATTACACGTTTCTCGTATCTGTGTGGGCGCTGTGTTTTCTTTGTAGGAACTAGAGGTAAATCCTGGGTCTATTTCATATCATGTGTCCTGTCTGAGGTCTGTGCTGCGGTGTGTCGCAACGACAAACATTTATGCGCTGAAACAAAACCGGAACAACTGCTGTAGTTACTCTCATTTGTCACCTAATTATAGAAACACGCATTGTATCTTTTGGGATTACATACATTTGTGTTCTATACTAGTTATTCAGAACAGGCTTCTAGTGAGTCTAGAAGCTATACGGAAACTTCAGGATACGAAAAAGAGAACAAAGATGAGATGCCAGTCTGTTTCAGGGCACACAACATGCAGGAATTACAGACACCACTTCAATGAAGGAAATCAAGTCTAGCCAAATAGCATATTTCAGATTTAACCTGGAATTAATAGTAGTTGTTAAATATTTAGCATACAATAATGACTAGTCTGAATGTATACATTGTACACAGTAGCCTGAAAAAGTTAATGAAATATTTACGATAAATGATGGTTTTGCTTTTAATCAAAGTGGTCGCCCAGGAGTGGACAATAATGGTGGTGGCTCATGTCATGAAATGTGAATTGTGGTTTTAGTTTGGGCTGCGCTATTTACAGACTTTGCGGGGGCCGCCAAGGGTGCTCGAGGCGCGGTGTTTAGCAGGCCATGGGATCACTGATCATCCTGGGACCCTCCTTTTTGATTCTGGTATTTGAGGAAGAACAGACAGACATGATCCGACATGGAATATTCCAGCATTCCCATGTCCTGTGCAGACAACAGCTTGTGATGCATGACAGTGAGTTAAGGTCCTAAACTGCTGGTATCTGAAATTTCATTTATAGGCTGTATATCTGGAAAAAAAAGAATCACCAGATGTTTAGTGCATTTGATACCCTCTCTGAAGTTAATTCTATTATGGTTAAGGATTACAATGCACTAAAATCATATATCATGTATGTCACATTTCCTGTAACATTCGTGGTACATGCACTCTGTAGATCTATTACTGCACTTTATCAGCCTGACTACATATGGTCCAGTTTTTCCACCGTCTTGTATTGTTTTACGCCACCTGTATTGTTTTCCAATGTCTTCAGCCTTTTGTAACCGAGTGAGGTCGAGCGACTAAGCATTCCAATGCACCTGTTGAATCTTGAAAACCTACGTGTTTATGTCGACGGCATTATCGTCATGAACAAATGTCAGTCTGTTGCCGACCGTTGATCAGCCAATGAATGACTACAAACAAAAGCCGGATGGCCAATGAACTTTCCCATGTGCGGACACTTTAACCAATTCCATAACATCTTACTGGCAAGCCAAGCATTGCTCTGTCGCCAAGACAACAAAGCCAACGCGCCAACAAACAGTCGAAACACTCGAAAGTTTCCGCTAATTCATGTACAGGGTTGCTGTTTGTTTTGCATGAAAGCTACCGTCTGAATCTTTAACTGGGACAACACGTCGATATGGTAATTCCATAGCTTTTAATTTAACAGTTCAAGGTAGAAAACTAGTTCTGTCTTTTGATAGTTACTAGTTGCGTTACATGTCGTTTTAGCGCCAGCATTTTAGGGCTGCTGTCTTTAATGGTGTAATATCTTTGCCATCGACATTAGACATTTTCCATCCACCATGCAAGCTATGCCCAGACCAGGACTGCGATCATTTTTTTTTTGTAGTTAAGCAGATACTGGAATTTAATGATTAGGTCTATTTTATAAACAGCAGTAATATGAATTACTATTAATCACTGCAGTGGACTGGCATCCCATACAGGGATTAGGCTGACCTGTTGATTGTTCCATCACTTAAATAGTTAGTTCCTTGTTTATTACTTCAGCAATCTTTCCCATAAACCATAATAGGTAAAGTACCTCACAGACAAAAATAAATGCTAATATTGCGTAAACCATGAACCAATTCTAATTAATATGTCAGCCGTGTTTGATTATAATCTGAAGTGTTAGAAACATATCAGCCATACAGCTCTGGGAAGCTGAGAACCATAGATCATAGAAACTGGTTTGGAATAGTCGGGAAAAAATGTGACCGCTGCGTGTCTCCTGTCCCCTAAATGCACAGGCGTCTCTGAACCAGCGGCGCTACAACACGCACAGAGAGCAGCAGAAGCTGGTCGCGGAGTCCCGGCGGCAAGCGGAGCAGCGAGAGGACTGGCTGAGACGCCTGTCGCAGGACAGACAGATGCAGGCCGGCTTTCTGAATGAGGAGAGGCTGGAGAGGAAGAGACAGCTGCGGAGAGCGCAGGACGAGGAGCAGGAGCGGCGGGTGGAATGGGCCCTCCTGACGGTGCGTGTCTCTGACTTAAGGCGCAGAGGTTTATACCACCAAACCGGCCAATCAGAAGTGAAATGAAAAAGGACAACTTTTTTGTAATTGGCCGAGTACTTCTAGGAAGAGCATGAGGACTATCTTAGCTGTCCCCTTAGACCTGTGCATGCCTTACTTCCGTGAAAATTTTAATGAATACTCCTGTCGTCACTCCCAGACGGAGAATGAAAGGATCATGCGGGAGAAGCAGGTTGAACAGGAGGAGAGGATGGCGAGGGAACTGGCTCGCATCAACCATGAAAAGCTGAGAGAGGAGAAGCTGAGGCAGCAGATCCGGGAAAACAGGTACAAGGAAGCCCTCGGCGCGTGACGCCGAGCCTCATCAGCAACCCTCCTCGTCTCCTTTCCTGATAAACAAGCGTATTTCCGTAATTCACAGGTGTGAAGAACATTCCCACGTACATTTAGCTTATTATTTTCCCCTGTTTTTAAAGCATTGAGCTCCGTGAGCTGGAACAGAAGCTGAAGGCTGCCTACCTGAACAAGGAACGAGCAGCTCAGGTTGCTGAGAAGGAGCTTATGAGATGTGAAGCCATGGTAACGGCCTGCCAGACGCGTTAAGTTGGGGTTACAAAGGATTCAACAACATTTTTAGTAAAATCCAGTGAAAATTATGAACATTTTACATTCGGTTGAAGCACTTTTCTCAGCTTCTTTATCTACATTCTCTAGTTGTTAGATTATTCTGAATATCCCATGGAGTTAAGAAATTATTTTTGTGCAACAAAGTGATGTGGCTAATTTATCACAAGCTACTGTTCCTTCTGGGTGATGGTTAAGTAGAATCTCTGGAGAGGGTGACACTCTCAGCTCTTGTGTACCTCAGAGGCAAGAATCTGACTTGGCGCTTAGGATGAAGGACGAACAGGAGCAAGCCATTGTGGAGCAGCAGGAGCAGGAGGAGAGGCACTACCAGGAGGTGGCACGCTACCAGCAGGAGCTGGAACAGCAGCTGGAGGAGAAGGAACACAAGAGGCAGGAGGCATACGAGGAGTTCCTCAAGGAGAAACTCATGGTGGACGAGATAGTCCGGAAGATCTATGAGGAGGACCAAATGTAATTGCCTTGTCTGGGCTGGGTGCTTTGGTTGGTTGCATTTGTACCGTACCATTAATATGCTCTAAATGTGGATGTGTCTTCCCACAGGGAGCAGCAACTGAGGCTGGAGAAGATTGCAGCCACCCAGAGATATGTAGGGGAGTTCAAGAGGCAGCAGGCTGAGTGGAGACAGATGGAGAGGGAGAAGATGGACGCCGAGAATCGACGTATCGTAGAATACGCGGAATATCAGCAGCGCAGGGAGGAAGACAGGATGACCAAGGTCCGAGAGCGAGAGAACGCAAAACAACACCTCCATCTGATGGTAAGGCTTTAGGGTGGGGCTGGTGTTCTTCCAAGCAGAAGATCTCTGTTTTGAGTCCAGCATGCTGTATTTGGAGATCCAAGCCCAATGCAGCTGAGAGGTGACCTCAGAATGGGCCATTTTGTTCCAACAGCTCACCGAGAGGATTGAAACGGAAACACGGCAACGTGAGGAAATGGACCGCGCTCGTGAGGAGCTCTACATGGAGGAGCAAGCAGAGGCTGAGAGGCAGAAGCAACGCGTACGTACCTGTGCATCTGTCCGTGCTGCGTGTTTGCCCGTCTGAGCTGTCTCAGCTGGCCAACTGCTGGACCGAGCCCTCGAGGCTCAGCTTGGTGCCTCTGCACAGGAGGAGATGGAGAGGAGGATCCGGCAGAGGCTGGAGCTGCAGCAGACCTGCCGGGAGCAGATGGCCCTCAAGCAGCAGCGCAAGCAGGCCGAGCGTGAGGAAGAAGAAGCCTTCAGGCGCATGATGATGACCAAGTTTGCTGAGGACGACCGCATCGAACAGATGAGTGCCCAGAGACGGCGTATGAAACAGCTGGAGCACCGGCGGGCGGTGGAGGAGCTGCTGGAGGACAGGAGGAGGCGCACTCTGGCCGAAGAGGTACGTCATCTATATGCCAGGCACAAGCCCAGAGGCTAGGGAGCAGGCCATGTGATTGGTCATACTGACATACTCCCAAGTAAGACGTTTAACGTGAATTATCCTGCTGTAAAATGTATACAAAATACAAACTATCTAAGTGTCTCCTTGAATAAAATCTCCAGAACTAGGAACAATATATTAATTCTGTTCTTGGGTAGGAGTGATATTTGAATGTAACTGGAATGCTGATCTGCAGTATGGTGTGTGTGTGTGTGTGTAAAGACAGTGGTATTCCAGTAGGGGGCATCAAGAACAAAACCAGATCTGATAATCATTTAAATATAGAAGCAAATCAATGGGGGGTTTTGTAGTGATGTGACACGGTTTTATTTTCTCACACAAGGAGCGGGAGGCAGAGGAGAGAGCCGCTGAACGCGAGCGTGAGATGGCGCGTTTGAGGATTATCGAGGACGAGAGACAAAAGCTGCTCAAAGATCATGCCGCTAAACTGCTTGGTTACCTGCCCAAGGTGAGGAAACGCATCCGCAGAATCTGCAGTCTGATGTTTGAATCTGTGGCTTGTGGGGCAGTTTCCCTATTAAGACAGGAATTCTTTTGTACTTAGGGAATTTTCAAGGAAGAAGACCTTAATCATTTTGGTGAAGATTTTAAAAGAAATCTCCAGAAGCCGGAAGCAGACACCTTTTCAGACGAAGACTGGGGAGCTCAGGGACACTAGTGTGTTTCTGTGACAGACACTAGATGGCAGTGTGATTAAATGTTTGTGAAACATTGTAAGTTGCTTTGTATACCTTTGCTGGGAACTTTTTGATGAGTGTATTGCATTGTATGGAATTAGACCCCTTGTTGTTCCACATCATTTCTGCCTGTTTGTGTCCCTTGTTGTCACAGAGGACGTCCTCAGTAGTGAATTAATGGAGAAATGACTCACTTTGTTAATCGATGCTTTGTTTTGCGAGAACGATTACCTGCCAGTTACCTTCAGAGGCACTCTTGGGGATCTGCTTCAGCTTTTAGTCTGATGCTTAATAATCGATTTCTGTATCTGATGCACACTATAGCTCCAGGACTCACAGAAACGTATAAATGGTAGTGCTACAGCTGTCCTTTAACTGTGTGTGTGTGTTTGGGTGTTTACAAGTTTATGAATGATCCTCTTTTAATATTAATCGCTTGAACTAGTAAAGGTTCTCACTCAGTTTTGGTGTGCAGTTTCTCCCAGTGGTGATATTTAATGACAGTAAATGTCACATTTTTTTCTTCTCTAATAGCAAGTTAGTATCTTTGGTCTTTGGCACTGGATATTGTTTATCTTGAGTGGCAGGAGTACTGCTGCAGAAATGCTTCAGTGCAAACTGCGAGGGGTTACGTAAGGGCAAAAGTATGACCTGCTGTACAAATTATTCCAGCACTCAGGATGTGGCCGGATTTGAAACTCGCAGTTTGACCTGCAGCACTTTTTCTGTCTTGGGTTGACCGGAGATCCCAGCTGACTGTACCGTCCATTAACGCGTTTTCATTTTGTTAGCCTCCCTGCTTGCTCTGCTTTGCCAGCATCTCTGCATGAGCCGGGGACACCCGATTTGCTTTGCATAAATATGCACGTCCAGTTTGCACGTTTGTTTAGGTCATACCAAGACCTTCCATGACCTTCCGTCTCTTGAAAAATAAGACACGATTCCTTTAAATTAATGTTTTTTTAAGCTCGTATCTTTATACACTTCATTAAACCTCTCGGTTATTTTTGCTACTTGCACGTCTATTGCTGGCATCCCTGCTTCTTCGCTACTTGTTGCTTTAAAATAGAATGATGATTCTGGGCTGTCATGAGATGCGGACGTGTGTGTGTGACCCAGAGTCGTGCTTATCGATTAGCACCGCTTTTGTCATGTCACGATTAAATGAACGCAACGTTCACATCAGACACCGGGTCTTAATCAGCAAAAGCGGGTGGGTGCGAAGTGACGAGTGAGCTCAGCTCGTTGTACTAAATGAATTTACAGTTAACACTGTTTACAAAACGAAATCTGCATTAACGAAATCTACCCATGTTGATTGTTAACGTACTGACGTATTACATTGCCCCAATCCGGAGTGGTATACTGGGAATTCTGAGTGCTGGAGATGGGTCAGTGCCGCAACCATCACCAGCTGCAGGAAGATTCGTTAAGCACATGCAAGCTAATTGCGTTAATGAGGCTGCGCTGGGATGTTTTCCCGCAGCGGGCTTCGTTTCACCGTCCATTAACAGCCTCATCTGGGCCAAGAAATGAAGAGTTGGTCCTATATTCCCATTCTCCTTGGAACATACTACATTAGTAACACCAAGTGAACAGAAGGGTGCTTATTTGGCAGAGATACAGCAGGGAAAGGGAACACAAAAATAAGGAGGCATTTCAACAGGAAAGAGGAAAATTGTGAGTTTAATGGGGTTGTGAAAGAAGAGAACTACCGATTTATGTTTTGTCGTGTATGCAGGACAAGTACAATGAATAGGAATAGTTCTGGTCACCTGATCCACCCAACCCCATCTTAAAAGCATTGTTTCGGGCCACCACACGCATAGAAATAGGCTTATTCAGGTTGGCGTGAATGTATGTGGGTCCCTTTTAAAACGTGGTACATGTCACTGCACCTGCCTGCATCTCCAATGCATGCATTTACAATAAGGACACATTAGATTTGGAGATAATGAGTAGAAGACGTGGCAGCAGATTTCCAACATGATGCCCTTTTGGTGAGTCAGCATTAAAAACACTGAAATGTTTTGGTGGTTTGTCCGGCAGCAAATCAAGCTTTTTTGTTTGATGGGATCTCAAAGTTTGGATTTTTTTTTAATCACATTTAAAAGCCTTTTGTTCATATTACAATAAATAATAGCCAGATAAAGTAAATAGGCCTACACTTCCTCATTGTTAAATCTCACCACACTCCACTTAAGGCTCAGCCTGTTTAAGGAAAGCGTCACTGGATGCAGTACCCAGCTTAGCTGGACGACAAAGAAGGACTTTCTGCCAACGTCCGTCAGGCAGGATGTCGATGTATATCTCATCTCTTCAAGTCATGGGCACATTGTACTTGCAAATGGAATTCACAACAGGAAGCCGTTCACTATGCAATGCTAATTTGGAGACCGGCTTTGTTTTCACGGTGACGGGAGGGAGGAGACGAATCTGACCGGCAGTGTTGGTGGTCTAGCAACATTTTTACTGAAAAGATGTGATCAGAACTAAAATTGCTCTGAATGAAAATCTACATGTATGTTTTCTAAGATATATGGACCAAATATAGGGTGAAATGTACAGATAATAACGCATACAGATATGGACTGGAAAGTGTTGGTGCTGTTAACATTAAGGTTTAAGTGATTTAGGATAATTTTACCTTTGCTGCATGGCTGCACATTGAAAGCACAGTATGGAATAGTCTTCCTGCGTGTGTAGCAGAAGCTAAAACTCTGGGTTCCTTTAAATCGGAGCTAGATAAGATTTTAACAACTCTGAACTATTAGTTAAGTTCTCCCCAAACGAGCTTGATGGGCCGAATGGCCTCCTCTCGTTTGAAAATTTCTTATGTTCTTATTGGCTAGCTAGTGATTGATGGCATAGTGATGTTTCTTAAAAGCTAATTACAGGAATGAAATTGCCTGTTCTGATTTTTAGCTTTCTCAGCAAACAATGTAAAAACAGCGTCCTCTATTCACTTATCTTGGTGGGGGCCACGGGGGCGGGATTACACGCAATCACAGGACATGTAAAAATATTATGGGCATTTTAGAGAAATCCTCTCACCCAACTGCATGCATAGCACTGTGGGAGGATAAGGGTGCCCATGTGACTGAGGCTACAGTGCAAACAGGACGGGGGATTCAAACAGCCCAGCTGTGGAGGTGTCAGACAACAGCGCTGCCCACTATCTGTAAATAAGCAGCTAGGACTTAACAGAGGGATCGTCAACCTGTCCCTACATGGACTACTGTGTCTGTGGCAAAATGTTTTGATTGAGGGGAAAAAAAAATAGTATTTGCATCAGGGGGGCGGCATGTCAGAGCGGCTAAGGATGTACAGATCGATACATTGATTCTTTCCATCTGAATGTTTCATTTTGAGAATCGATTCTAATGTAACATTCTTTGTACCTGGTAATTTCAATGTTTATATTATAATAGGGAGCAGGACATGAAGCACAAGCAGGACCAACGTAAATGTGAGTGTTAGGATAGGGACTACTACTCCTTCCACCTGCTCTTCCAGCTCCGCACAAGTCAGTGAGTTAGTGATGGTGAAACGAGGCTTCCTGAACCTCTGAGGATTTCCAGCCAGCAGAATCGCCAAGAGATAGCAGCTTCATTCAACACCGTGTACACTAGTGACATGAACATGAAGCTCACAACAAGAGTACTCATGGTGACAGCCAGTGTGGTCAATTTCAATAGCACTTATATTCAGGGTCGACAGTAAACACTCTTTTTTTTTCCAAAAAATCTCACAACAATTACATGCATAACAGAACAACACAACAGTTCAGTTCTTTCGTTATGCCTGAAGCTGCAGGGCATGCTGGGTAATACAGGCACGACCCAATAGCTAAGTGGCCAGATAACTAGCTAGAACCTATTTTACATTAACCCGGTTACTTAGCTAGCTACAACTAAGCATAGACAGCTAAGCATAGATAGCTAGCTACATTAGTCTGATTTATATGCACCACGTGGGCCAGATTTCAAACCTGCTGATGCAACCACTTTTAACTGACTAGCAGGGCAGTATTTTTACTCTAGAAAAACTGGACACTAACTACTGCTAAGTTAACATGGCTTACATCCACTATTTTGCAACTTTTAGCTACTAAATATGCACTAGCTACCCACAGCAGGCTAACAGATAATGTTGATTTTTAAAATGGAGATTTAACACAATTTAGGCCTAATCTGAGCAATAATCTGCTGTTAGCCATTGTGTCATTTTGTCAAAGTGCATTTTAAAATGAAACAATTCATATTGACTACTTCACCTTTAAAGTAGGTAGCCGACTAGGCTTATTAAGTTAGTAACGTTAAGTGTCTTAAGGACCGGCCTACTTTAAGGACATGCAGTGTAGCTCGTCGTCCATAGACTTGAGTATTTCTGTTTTGGGTAGATGACTCTCCAAGAGCTAAAGTGATTATAAGATGCCTGGTAGAGATGATTGTCAGAGAAATTCAGCCACTCTCTATTGTTGAAAACAGAGGTTTTTGGGCATTTTTTAGAACCTTTGAGCCAAGACACCCGCGTCACCGACTCTGCTCGCCTACTTTCCTGCTTGCCTGCTCCACGCATCATAACACAAGTCTGGGAGCAGTGAAATGCAGCTGAATTTAGAATAGAACAAGCTGATTCAGTCAGCAGAAACAAGACAGTCTACTGCCTGTTACAGTATATGTTAGAGAATGTGTATAAGGGGAGAGCAGCAGCGACTGCAGCCTCCTGCCCGTCTGCAAGGGGGCGCTGTGTCTGAGTGAGGAAGAGCTATTCCTGATCCACCTGACAACTGAGGCACTGAGGCCTTTTGAAGAGGAGTCATGGGAGGGCTCATCTGAAAATCATATTTCTGTGTATTCTGTGTATGGGGGCAGTGTGGCTCAGTGGTCGCCGCTATGGGTGGCTGCCCTTCGCAGGCAGCTTACTCTACAAAGAGCAAGCTGAGGGAGGCGTAAAGACAATTTCCCCACAGGGATCAATAAATTATCAATCTTATGTCCCTCCTTCACAGAGAACTTGCATCCACTGTGCATCAGGGCAACTCCCTTGCCACACAACTGGCATCACAATGTCAGTGTAGATTCTTGGGCAATCAAACGTTCATGGTGTGGCTGACATAAGGTTTAAAGACCTCGCAGTTTATGGCAAAGATGATGTTGAAACCAAGAAAAAAAAGACTCCTCGCTGACAGGCGGCAGGCTTCTGAGATGGGGGAGACAACTCCTACTTCACCAGTAGCCTGTCTGAGCACCTGCGTCAAGCTCACCGCCGGGTCTTGCACGTGTCGCAAATTTTTCTACAGCCGCAGTGAAAAGAGGGCTAGGCGCAGATTTGACACTGATGTGAAGTCAACCCGACAACACTGTTCAGCAGGTACCAACATGCGCGCTGTGACTCAGAGGACAAGGACCCATTACTGGCATGAACCATCAGTCCTATCCCTAAGCAGACCTGCAGTCAGATTCTTGGGAATTGTTGCTTCATCTGTATCTGCCGCACAGAAGAAGTTGGTGAGCATAACAAGATGCAAGACTGAAGACAAAAACATGCCACAGTTTCTGAACAAAAGCCCCTGAATGAGGAAAAAAAAACACATAGGGGAGTTTATACGGGACACTGGCATCTAGCAATGCTGTAAAAATTCAAGATTAATGCAAGTCTGTAGCTGGAACAGCTATTTTTATAAATTATTGAACGTTTCATAAATGATGTTACATCAACATAAATCATCTGAATAAAATGATAACCCAAAATATTATTTTTTCTCAGTACTTATTTAAGCTACTGCACAAGAACGTTCGACTGCTACCTGAACTGCGTACCTACCTCATTAGTGTATGACAAGGCTATTCAAATCATGGTCCTCAAGGGCTGAGTCCTGCTGATTTTCCAGGCTTCCTTTACCTGTGGAGCCAGGCGTGAAGCCTCAGAATCAGTAACTAACTGCCCGGCAGAAATGAAAACAAGGACTGGATTTGGAATTGAAGGCCAGATTTGAAGAGTCCTGGTGTATGAAGTTGCACGATTCGTTTCGGTTGTTAGGATAACGAGTTGGTTTACCTCATAATACAAGCAAGCTTATATATGGCCTGTAGGCTACTATATAAAATACACTGATGTACCCGTTTTCAAATCCAATAGATTTCCCATTTAATGCATGCAAAAGAGACGTCTGAATTTTAGTATCAGGATACCAACCGTGGTACACGTGGTATCGGATCAAACAGAAAAGCAGCGCTATCTCCCATCAGTAGCGGCTGACCTGGAGCGCAGAGGTTTCCCATGCAGTTTGCGGCGCTTCCGCAGCTTTGGTGCACGCAGTGCGCCTGCGCCTCCCCCGCCAGCGGTAGCAGGCGTGCTGTGCGACACCGAGTCGCGAGCTCAGTCTGCCTGCCTACCTTTCTCTCCGTTCCTCCTTTTCTCATTGCATTACTTGAACATATACGTGGGAAACGTCGCATATTTGCCGTCAGCCATGATCCACCGCCGATTGAGCAGGCGGACCTGATGGTGACTCGGGCGCTTGTCCGACCAGTGGCCCCGTGATGCGCCGCAATCGGGGGGGAAAGCTCGAGGTCCGGCTTGAGGCCTACTCGTTAAGGCTAGTTAAAGAGTAGTTAGAGGCTAGTTAAAGAAATCTGTCTGCTTGTCTCTCCCCTTCGCCTCACCGTGATGGCTGAGAATCAGCAGAAGAACCCTCAGCCAGGGACAAGCTCTCTGCCGTCGCCGCTCCACGGCCTCCACGGAGTCGAGGCCGGTGCGCTGCGGCACCGGATAAAAGCCTCCATCTGGTAAGAGGTGCCGGTATACCGCCTTGTCTCCGCCGGGGGTTAGGGGTGCAGTCGTGTCTGAGGAGCCTGTTTCGGTTGCGTACCGAGTAGCGTCGCTTTTGTCTTGTACTCCGGTGCACTGGAGCCCCCCCAAGCCCATTTCCTGGCTGTCAGAGATGTATACCTCCGTAACTGCGTGGCCGGCCCGATGTCATTTTCAGCCAGTTCAGTGGCCTCGTACTGGCTGGCCCTAGGGGAGCGGCTCCCCTCCGCTCCGCCGCCTGGGCTCCGCCGACGTGACCGCAGGATGTGTGCCGGGTGTCGCAGTGTAATGAGAGCCAGTTAAATGTGGTGATTATAACCCGCATTAGCAGGCAGTATCACTGCGGGAATCTCAGTGTAGGCGGCGAATGCTGCGGCAGAACGGCGTGTTTGTCTCGGTGTCCGCTTGTCTTGCTCCGCTGCTGGGCTCCTCCATCGCAGGCTGGGAATAGCTGTGTAACTCTGTCTCACAGACCTTTCGTGGCGTTTGTCTGTTACTCGTGTTTGTCTAACCTGCCGAACAGCGCACTAAATAAATACGGCTATTACTCCGATCAAATGTATAGTATGTTACTTTGTATTTTCTGCTGTGCTGTTTTGTGTTGTAATAACACATACTAGTGCTAGTTTTCCCCTGTAAGTATAACATAGTGTTGATCTGTGTTTTACTTTAATGTTATGTTAATTGTGGTAATTAAGGTGGTTATTAAGATGTTAATCTCCTAAGGTTAATTAGGACTTAAGCATCAGGCTATTAATTATTGCTGCTCTGAAAATAAGAACGCAGGAATAAGTAATCTGTGAAACAGTAACTTGTGTAACTTGGTCATGAAGTTGAAAGTCATGAAAAGAGTGCTTAAACGGCTGCGGAATTGTCCCCGGGAACAGTGCTAGGTTGCCTAATTACTGCTTCAGCCTTAATAAATGTGAGCCTATTTAAAACAAACAGTTCTTGAAATGTGGTTGTGTTTTTTCTGAGATATTCTGCTTGTGTCAAGATCTGCTAATGTTGCATAATTTTCCTGACACCATGATAAATGCTAGATGACATGATGGTGTAGAGACGTGGGTAACTGTGTAACTTTATCCAGAATCAAAACACTTTACATTTTTCTTTAATATTCCAGTCAGTTTTAATATCCCAATTTTTTTTGTCAAAAGGTGATCATAACAACTAAAGTATGGCTGCCAAAGTTGTTTATCCAGCATTGTTGGCCTGCGTTGTGATCCTTACAGACCAAAGGTATAATATACGAGTCTGCAAGTGGTAAATATATTTAGCAACTCAAAGCAATAAGAACCTTCTCAAACCTAAGCTTGTTATATTAGCATGGACTCGGGGGGGGAGTGTACGAGATGTTCGATTCCATACTGAATAATTTTGGTGCTCTGTTTCCATGTATCATTTAGCTTGGACACTGTGACCCTTGACTGTCCGGGGGACAGCCTCCCATAGGCACTGGCTCTATTCCGTGAATGCGGATTTAAATCACGTCCGGGCATGTTTTCTCCGGCACTGATGTACATGCGTGTGCTGAGGGTGTGGCCTCTGAACGGAGAAGCAGGCAACTTAATAAAGAACTAGAAACATGTTGATATTTCCTAGAATCTGAGGTATTTTTAACATCAGCTGAAGTGTCTTTTAAACCTCTTACCTGCAATTTGCATGTCAGTGTTTATTTTTAACCATAAAATGAATGTTACCCAGTGTGTGTAAACGTGACTGAAGGCTGGGTTTCTGTTACATACCCAAAATGATATTGCTTTCTGGGTAGAGCACATGATAGGTGTGTCAGTGTGGCTTATTCTGGAAGGCATGCTGTCCTGGCTTTTCAAGGTAACAAAACAGAGGTCTAAAGAAACGCATGACGCATGTTTCTGGGGGCCTTCAGATGACCGTGGTGTTGTAAGAAAGACTCTTATAGAGTAGCTGTCAGTGTCTAGTTTAGGCTTGAGTTACTTGTGTGGCTGACTTTGTTTACATGTGATCCTTCAGTTTTAGCTCGTACAGCATGACACAGTCCAGGGGGAAATTGCTTTCGTGGGTTACGGCAGTGTTGTTTTTTCTTCCCAAGGAGTTGTTTGGTGATTATGTACAAAAAGCAGGTTAGCAGTCAGTGAAAGTAGGCCTATAGAAATTATATATTTTTACTAAAGGTTATTTAACTGCAAATTGTCCTTGATTTAAATTGAATTAAATTTACAAATACAGTGCTGTATGCGGTAACCTTATTGTTGATGTGGCTAGTGGGTGGGGTCTCCTCTTTGTTTGATGGGTCTGTGTAGGCATGTGAAAGCAGAGTCACTAGTCTGTCAGCTTCCCTGAAGTTGCTGAGCCAACAATGTAGACTGCATCTGTAAACATCCGTGGCTGTGTTTCTGAGGCGGCCTGATGCACAGCTTAAACCGAAGGCTTGCCACTGAGGACACGAGCAGGTCATTATGACACGAGCAGGTCATTATGCTGCTTCCTGCCTCCAGACAGCTGTCTGGTGCCTCTTGTCATCTTGGAGTACAAATCTGGAATAAAACCCATCGATGCCTCCTTTACAAGTCCTGCTGTGGAAAACAAAAACCTGCGTAGTGTCATGCGGGTTTGAGCCGGGGAGTTTGCTCCTGCTGTCTTGCAAACCGGTTGCGTTGGGTTGTACCCTGACTGCCGCATTGCTATTGGAGGGTGTAGTATCCGGGCTGTTCTGTGGAAGCTGTGCCGCCACCACATGTATGTTAAAGTGCTGATATGCACAACACACATGTGCTGTCTGCTGTGACCTAATTGTGATTGTTTCCCCCCCCAAACTGCAGTGTCACCCACAACCCTTTGCCAGATCTCTGCTGTCGCTGGTTTCACTTTGGGCCTATTTTAGTTCCCTCATGTTGGTTCTCTGTGTGATTTTTCAGGGGCTGCTTGGTTCTTATTTCACATTGTAAGATCACAGGGCTTGCTTGAAGAAAAATATGCTCATTAAAGAATATTAACAGTACCGGTGTATACATCTTTACACCTTAACTGTAGGTGTGTTTACAAAACACTTGCTAGTGCACAACTTGGGGAATATTCGGTGTTGGAGCGCTTGGTATCACCTGGTTGATTTAGAGACGCCGTTGGCATGTAGCCGTGTTTTTCACAGCTGCCTGTGTATCTCTGTCAGTCAGGGGGTCTCTGTCCCTCAGTTACATGCTGACAGAATTGAAATTTAATTTTCTTGCGCTTGTAATGGGGCTTAAAATCTATTTGAAAGCCTTGTACAGAGTTTGACGTGGCTGCAGAGCAAGAGCGTGCAGTGATCTCGCCTCGAGTGGTGACAGCAGGAAGTAAGGTTTGTTTCTGCGGCCATCTGAGGAAAGAGGAAACGCGTCTCAGAGCCACACATATGAGTTTTCCCATTTCCGTCACTTAGCCACAGGAAATGCGCCAGAGGGCGGCTTCAAGAGTGCGGCTGGTATGTCTCTATCTCCTGGAGTTCCAGGTAGCCGGGAGTGGCATAAAGCTTAATGATGGGGCTGCTGCTAATGATCACTTTGGTGCTTCAGCACCCTACTGATAAGATGGAGATGCCAAGATGGAGAAGTTAAATACAGTTATGACTTGGACATCTGACACCAGTGAGCTGTGCTATAGGGTTGTTGCACATGCTACCCCTGTGGATGAGATCTGTCCTTGGCACAGGTGTGGTGGCACTGAGAAGCTGTCTGGGAGCTAAGAATAACATTACCCCCCCCATGCTGGAGGGATGGGCTCCCGGCCTCGAGTCACACGTATGACTGAGGTCTCCTAATGCTATGTAAATGAAACGCAGGCAGGACCCTGTAGTATGACTGAGGGGGGCTTTCTTTGGCTCGTGCCAGGAGAGAGGTGATCCACTGCTATGCTGGAGCTGAGGAGTCACTGAACATCCACAGCAGAGTGAGCAATGTGCTTCAGAGACTGTCTAGACACACAGTTCAGCTTCAGCGAGACCGCGGCCACTTGAAAAGGTGTCTAAGCTGAAGTCAGACCTCTGGAGACCATGGGCGCTATGCTAATGAGTTTTAGTGTTCTTCGGGATTCCGAACCTCCGGATTTTGGGTTTGGGTCCAGCCCAGCGTGTGTTCTTGTTTGCATCAGGAGAGCAGCTTGCGTGGCCCGTCTTTAATACCGCGGGACCTGTCTCATCTGTCGATTTTGATCCTGGTGTTTTCTTCCAAGCTGTGTGGTTGAACACTCTCATGGTACAGAGCTGGCCTTTGCTGCAGTCCCAGCGGACGCATGGCTGTATGCGCAGTCTGCGGTTGGATGGGTGGCTCGTCGCTCATACGATCCACAGCTTCCCAATCCGCTTTTGATTGTGTAATGAATGGCCGAATGGGTTGAATAATGCACGCTGCCACACGTCTGCTGCCTTGAGTGCCGAGCCTCTCTGGTCCTCTACCACATAAGCAGGAGTCCCCAGTCTGCCTGTCTATGTCTGTAGTTGCGTTAGGCTCTTGGTACGATGGAGTAGGGCTGATATGTCAAGATTTAAAAATAAAGTTCAGTTTCATATTGTGGAAAACCTTCACCTTCTCTCTGTCTGCTCCGGGTTTCCTCTGCTTTAAGAACCCCACCTTT